TAAATAATATATATATAGTAATAATATATATATATATATATATATATATATATATGTACATGTACGTATATAAATATAACTATAACTATATATATATACGTGTGTGTGTGAGTGTTTGAGTGTGTGAGTGTTTGAGTGTGTGTGTGTGTATGTGTGTGTGTGTGTGTATGCGTGTGCGTGTGTATTTATATATATATCTCGGAATTTTCGTCACACAGTGCCAGCTTTTGACTAAGTGGACGTTTTTTTACCGTTGGCTCGTCAAACTGGATGATACACTCATGAATGTAGTTGAAACGTAATATGTGGACTGTCATTTCATTACCATTCCCAGACATTCGAATGAAATTGAAGAAATCAGGATCATCTTAGCAGTGGACTTGGGATCACGCAAAGCAACGAACATGTGATACTAAAGTCGCACAATTTTGGAGGGGGGGGTTATCATATCGAGCTAGTACAATACCGTCTACCAAATCAGTCCTGTCCACACACAACTCCATATACAAACACCCTACTTTATCACACCCTAATCTACCCATTATCCGTTTACATGTCTGTTACTATGGCACTCCTCAATATGATACCCAACTCCCCCCTATCACCAAACAGTCATACTGGTACACATCCAGGCATTCACACCGTCCCATACAGTTGCTCTACGTCTCCATACACTCTCATTCTTCGCACGCAAGCACGCACACCTACCCATTTGGCCCAGTACTATCCACAGAATCGCGTTCGCCAGCCTCTTCACCCTGTCCGTCGGCCCCGGGAGCCTTCTCAGACGCCACGGATGCGTGTGTGAGGGAGTGGTTCTGTGTGCGTGCGTGCGTGTAGGTATTGTTGGGCATATAGAACTCCGGGATGAGCTCCTTGAGGTCTGTGTGGCTCGTGTTCACGCCCTTCCAGGTTGCGGCGATATCGTTGAACAGGCGATCGGGCTGGTCGAACTTCCCGCTCTGGTGTTTAGGGTTTTAGGGTTTCATACGTGTCAGGGTTTAGGGTTTTAGGCTTCAGGTCACGGATGGTAGCTAGTTCTAGGTCTACGAGTTCATTTATATACTCACCTGTAAGCAAAGCGTGAATGCATGCATACATTAAGGGATATACTTAATACGCCCCTGAAGGCAAACAGCATGTGGAAATGCACACGTCTACGAGTTCACTTATATACTCACCTGTAAGCACAGCATGTATTCGGGCGCGACGCGGACTAAGTAGTAGAGCACATAGCCGGGTGTTGAGTAGTGGGTGGCGTAGAAGTACTTTGGGTCTGGCATGTCTGCGTATCTGTCAAGGGGTTGTGTGCGGACAGTACACAGTGTATGGAGATCAGCTCAAGGGCTTCAAGGGGTTGTGTACGTTGCAGCAGACGACAGTACACAGTGTATGGAGATCAGCTCAAGGGCTTCAAGGGGTTGTGTACGTCGCAGCAGACGATAGTACACAGTGTATAGAGATCCGCTCAAGGGCTTCAAGGGGTTGTGTAAGTTGCAGCAGAAGGTAGCCACTGCAGATAGAGCGATCTGTCCTAGGCACAAAGCGCATTGGGATTTGCTCGTGGATGTTAAGGGTACCGTGTGCTACTACAGAAGATAATCGCTACACTAGTGTGAGCTATGAATGTCACATGGTCGTTGTATGCCAGTGTTTACCGAGTGAGAAGTGTTTACAGAGTTTGAAGGCTCCAACGGGTGCGTCGTACCACCAATGCTTTTAGGGTTTAGGGTTTAGGGTTTTACGTTCAATGCACGGCGTCATAGACCATTCCCTGCGAATTCTGTCGACGGCAGCGTCTCTACCCAATCCCAATGGGCACAAGTACTTTGTGTGCTCGCAATCAGCGCCACTTCAAGACACAAAGACTGTACGACGAGAAACTGTTGCAGATAATGAATGGACAGTACTGCGCAGAGACTTCAGCTCACCCCAAGATATAACGTTGTATAACCCACTAACCCTAAAACCACATTCTCCTGTCGAGGGAATAAATGTACCTTTCCTTATAGCCGTTAACCTAAGATAAAACCACACTCTCCTGTTGAGGGAATGAACGTACGTTTCCTTATAGCCGTTAACCTAAGATGAAACCACACTCTCCTGTTGAGGGAATTACCGTACATTTCCTTATAGCCGTTAACCCAAGATAAAACCACACTCTCTTGTTGAGGGAAAGAAAAAAAGAAAAAAAGGGAACGTACCTTTCCTTATAGCCGTTGAGCCGCTCAGCATTCAACGCGCCGATAGGTTTAGTTAGATTCCGGAATGTCGCTACAGAGCACATGCAATGGGTGTAGTCAGCACGACGGACGGGGGTGATAGTGAGTCTACAAGTCTAAAGGATGGTGTGAATAAAGTCAATCGAGCCTGAATCCTGCGCAGTACAGATGAGACAAGTCTACCTGAGTCGATTGTATATATATAAATATATAAATATATAAATATATATAAATATATATAAATATATATATATATATATATATATATATATATATATATATATATATATAT